TGACCCCTCTGTGAGGGCATGTTCTATTGTCTACAGATGGGCTTTGGGTCTCTGCTCTGACCCCCCTCGTTCTTAATGATATATTTTTTGTTTGTTTGTTATGTGTCTTTTGATGCCTGTGAGCCAGTCCTAATGACACCTCATGATCACATCAGCTGGTGTGCTTCTTCCATATGGGCTAGTTGCCTCTCTGCTGGGTGGCTACTTGTTTACCTTCAAGCCTCTTAAAGTCTATTTTATCAAAATTACAATTACCTCTCCTTCTCCCTTTTTATTGCTGTTAACTTGATGTATTTTCCCCATCCTTTGATTTATAGTTTATTTTTGTTTTTGTATCTAAGATGTCTCTCTTGTAGACAGCATATTGGTGGATAATGTTTCTTATCCAATGTACTACATTCTTCCTCTTATCTGGTGCATTTAATTTACTTACATGTAGCATTTACACTGATTGTGTGAAGAATCCTGCATTCTCATTGTTTCAGCTACTTCTGGGGAAAAAATGCTTTTACACAATAAATTTGGTTCAAAATTATGTTTACTTGCTATAAAATACCTGAGAGGAAACTAAAAAAAAAAATCATGGGGAAAATCTCTTATTTCTAATCACTCAATAACATTGCTGAATCTGGACCTGAATATTTATGCTTTGATGCTTCTGGCTGGACCATGTTGACAGCTACACCCTGGCACAATGTGGGATTTATTCTTATCAGCCACTGCAGACACTGGAAATATCAGATACCAGGTTTCAATCAAGGCAGTACTAGAGTCCTTAGGAATTGGTTTTTCCCATTTTCCTGAGGTTTTAGTTGTAATCAGTATAAGCGCTTGACTGTAGTTGGTTTACTCCATCTTGGCTGGCACTGGAGAGCTTGTGTATCACGATACTGCTCAAGAGAAAAAAACGGGGGCCTGGAGGATGGTAGGAGCCCAAGAAGGCATAGAATTGATTCTGAAGCAGCTGGGGATCAAAGTAAACAAGTGCAGACTTGACATAGATGATGCTGACCAAACAACATGGAAAAAACAGTATTCTTTGATCAAGGCAGGCTGGGACCAGGTACTGCCTGGATTGGAATGCAGACCATTTCTGAAGTCACTCTCACTTCCTAAGGAAATGACCCTGCTCCAGATGGCCTGGAATGAGGGCAACACCGAGTCCAGGGCTAGTGGAGTATTGTGCTCTAGTCAGTTGTGACAGTGTGAGCAAGGCCAGGCACATTACTGTTTGAAACTTTTTATTGTTGATGTTAGATGAAGTCAGGTAGACTCCACCTGTGACAAGATAGAGCCACACAATAGGATTTCTGAGGTCATCATGTTTATGGAAGCGGATCACCAGGCTTTTCTCCTAGGGAGCCGGTTGTCGGATTTGAACCACCACCGTTGGGGTTAGCAATCAAGTCATTAACCATGGCACCACAAGGTTTTCCTATTGGATTTGTAGAGGAAATCAATAGAAAATTTCAGGAATATCAAGAAAATTCAAGAAAGCTTGAGTATAGCATTAAGAGTTTATTGTGAAATTTTGTTTTTGTTTTTGTTTTCTTTTTTGCACCCCTTATTCATTCTACTTCTACTAACAGTGTCCAGATTTTGCTTTGAGTAAAATACTCCCTCCCTAGTATGAGCCAGCGGAGCCCTGTTAAGATAGTGGTTACACCTTGGGCTACTAACTGCAAGGTCAGCAGTTCAAAACCACCAGCAGCTCCTTAGGAGAAAGAGGAGACTTTCTACTCCCATAAAGAGTTATGGTTCTACCCTACCATACAGGGTTACTATGAGTCAGAATCAACAAGATGGCAGTGAGTGAGTATGAGTCATGTATAGTCGTTCTCCTGTTCTGTGGTTGGTCTGAGATGAACACACAACCAGTAAAAGCCAGTGAGATGCAAGAAAATATTTGATGGTGCTTGTAGAAAGGAAATTTCTTCTCTCTTCTTTAGGAACAAGCAAAAAAGGATGGTGTTTCTTTGCAGGATTGTATGGTGTGAGGGTATGATCGACATCTGGGGTTCAGTCATCTATCTTTGTTATATCATGAGGGAGATCCCAGAACAATACTGATAGAGTTTGAGGGTGAAGCTTATATTGTGGGAGGCAGAGTGGAAGAACAATGGGCATTGATCATACTGTTTTCTTGAGCTTTATGTTTAAGTCTTACCTGAAGATAAAACAATTCTGTAACACAAATTTATTTTTTTTAAGTTAACGTGAGTTAGATTTTCTGCCATTTTTAATACAAGGTAGCATTTCTTTCTGATCCTCATGTCTTTCTGCTTCAAAAATGGAAACATTATGTATGCAGTACTGAGTTTTGGGCTTTGGTGATGGAAATTTGCACTGATTAAGGGGAAGGATAGATGCCAGTTAATATAATGACTTATAGATATGTTAAAAGTTGAATTGGCAAATATGCGATGATACATTTATAATGGCAACACCAAAAGAGCAACTACTGAGCCTGCTTATTATGTACAGCCAACACCCCATGGGATTGGGAGACTTAGGGTCATGGTTCCATGGAACAGTCATATTAACTAGCCTACTATTATGTTTCTTGATTATATTCTAGTTCATTGTGCAGTCTCTAAGATCTTAAGAGCTGTCCATCAAAGATG